ATAGCAAAGCATTCTTTATATAGCAAGGCATACTATGTGTCAAAGGATATTTTGAAATGCCCTCTATTTTAAAGGAACTTCTATGAACCGGCTAGTCAGAACTCAACAATCTGAGCAATTTTAAAGCAAATGGATTTTAGAGAAGAAAAAAAACAACCAAAGGAACTAAGTAAAGGAGTTACCCTTTTGTCTCCTTGACCTTTGACTCACTTGGATCAAAATTTGACAAAGATTGCAGCTGCTAAGTATATTACCACGAGATGTAGGCAGTGGCTTTTAGTCAGACTGTAAAAATAGACCCCCACCCCCACCCCAAACACCAGTACAACTTAGGGTTCTTTTTTTTTTTTTTTTCTGGCAAAAAGATAAACAGGGAACTGACGTCTCTTGAAATATATAAGTGCCTCCCTCAGAGTGTGGGGAATATGTGCTTGGGTGCTTGGTGCGGAGATTTAGCTGCTTGTCGTCTGGTAACTTGATGTCATGTGTTAAGTACTTGTACACTCAGCTGAAAAGTCAGTTGCCCTTATTCAAGGTGAGTCATATGATACAACATTTAAAATGAGAGACTTTTCCTCCAAAATACTTCTAAATTCCATTGGTGGGAAAATCTTGGAATTCTTTATTTGTAATATAAAATAAAATGATAGGATTTTGCATAGCTCTGTTTGCAAAACACAGACCAGTAGTATATGTGTTACTGCAATGCTTCTTTGCTATGTTAGTACTGGCAGTCTATGCTCACTATTGCTGGCTTTCCCAGTTGCACTCTCTCTTTCAATATTTAATGTCTTGACACTGTGGTTCCTGGAAGCATGTGAATTTGTAAGAAAGGCATCTTTTTGAGCTAATAGCCTTTACTACTGCAGATAACAAGCTTGAAACTGTAATTCTGAAGTGCATCTAAGATCAGAACTGCACACATGGCTTATTCTCCATTTAATTTTCTCTTATTTGGGACAGCAACTCGGCTTCTATGTCAGAATAAAACTGATAAAAAGTGATTAAAAATGATTATTAGAAACAGAAAAATCATCAAGAAAATGCAGATATTATTATGTTTTCATAAGGGCTTGATTTAAGTTGACATGTACAAAAATACAACTTAATTAGAGAGGAAAATGTTTAATAATATTTTGTATCTTTCCTCCAACTCTATTGCTTATTAATTGCATTTCAGACATTTGAATGGACTGCTAAAATTCTAACRAGCAGTTTAAAAAAAATAGAAATACATCCTCAGTAATCTAGATCATGATTAATATTTTTAATAATATTGTGAACAATCTAAATTTAAATGATGTCATAATCTCATTTATTCTAAGTACATTCTATTCTTCTTCCAATAGTAATTATCATTTGAATATTCATCCACTGATGCAATTACATTCTTATTGGTAATTAGTATTTTAATCTTCACTTTTTTATTTATTAGTTGTACTAGATAAGTATAGCTTWTTAACTTATACATACAATCAAGCGTTATCTTGGAATCAGTGCTTTTTGTGGCTATTGTGTAATGGATAATTTGACTTGCATAAACTGGGATTTGTCTAGACTGTTATTGCATTGTGTTTGATGGGAGAAGGGTCAATATTTTACAGTTTACAAAAAGTTGGAATAGGCAGAAGTTATCAGCAACGAGTTTATTTCTAGCTGCTTACTGCCAGTGATCATCAGGGACATGTAATCTGTGTAACACAAAAATCCATTGGAACAGCTTGTAGAAACTTAAGTGGAAATATATTTAATTGCAATATATATTTATGTTGAATTTGGAACCGTTGGTACATAACTTAAGAAATACAGTCTGACAATTTTTAAAAGTTCTTTTAAAACAATCTTGGAAAAAAATCATTCCCATTTGCTATCCTGAAATGTGTATTTCCATGATTAAAAAAATCTTCAAGAATAGATAGTTTTATGTCTAAATTTGAAAAAGATCACATTGAGAATAAAAATAGCCCCAAAATTTGAACTCCATGGGCTTTCCTTTCATTGAGAAGTCCTCTCTCCTTAGATTTGCTTCAATGTAGCAGCAGCCAGATTTTTCAATCTTCAGGTCGTGAGTGAAAGAGCGAGTAAAGAGTGAGTGTCACAGCACTATTAAATTCATTATATCTCTGTCAATCTAAACATACTGATCTGATCTGAACTGATCTACAAAGATATGAGAGTTTGTCCCAGTGACTGCCATTTAAAAATTTGTCAGATCTAATTTGCATTTGTAACTTGAGTTTGCTTTGAAATTTTGCCTTTAATCATGTTATATATTCATCCAATATATTAAAGAACCTTTAATAACTTAGACATTATGCCACTCAGTCAAGTTTTCAATTTTCTTTTTGAGAAGTGCAATATGTTGCATGACAAGTTGGGAAAATGCACCTTTTTATTTTTTGCTTAATGCTACCTCTGATAATTGAAGTCTTGCCAGTGTATATGGGAAAAGATCTGATCAAGGGGACAGCTAAGGAGCTAGAAGTTCAAATGAGGTAAAATTCCTCTAGCACAGAATCCAATTTTATGGCTGTAAAGGGGCTCTTCTCTATACGAAGACCCTCTTCGCAATCCAGCCTTTGCCAATCACACTGTTTTACCGAAGTTCCAAACCAAAAGGCAGTAACCTCTGCAGAGGTCTTCCTCATCAAAAATAGTTCTTGGTCAAATGAGAAAAGGTCACCTAGGGTAGGCTCATAAAAAAAGTTTTGGAAACATTCTAGGCTAGTCTTCTCAACCTTGAGGAGCACTAAAACAGCTGGGCATGAGTTTTCGTTATAATAAAGTCAGGAAAAAGATTATGAGGTAAAACACAGGGTAAAATTTGCATCCAGGTGGGTTTTGTATATCTCGAGAGAYGGAGACTCCACCACCTCTCTAGGCAGYCTGTTCCAGTGCTCTGCATCCTCAGTTGAGATGTTTTTCCTCACATTCAGATAGAATTTCCTGCATTTCAATTTTTCAGTTTGTGTCCATTGCCTCTTGTCCTGTCTGGATAACACTGAAAAGAGTCTGCCCCATCATCTTGACATCCTCCCTTAGGATATTTGTTTGCATTGGTAAGATCCCCTCTCAGTCTTCTCTTCTTCAGGCTAGACAGACCAAGTTGTCTCAGCATTTCCTCATGGGAGAGATGCTCCAGTGCCCTGATCATCTTTGTAGTTCTTCACTGGACTCTCTCCAGTAACTCCATGTCCCTCTTGTACTTCCTAATCCAAGTTCCCATTGGCCTTCTTGGGCACAGAGGCACATTGCTGGCTCACAGTTAACTTGTTGTCTATCAGCACCCCCAGGTCCTTCTCCACAGAGATATGGTTTTGATTTAGGAACCACATGAAATCACCTTGCAGTAGGTAGATGGACTAGATGATTTCTATGGGGAATATATTTTTCTATGAAAGTAAGAAGTAGAATTTTGGTCATTCTATTTCTTCTTTCAAGTTTCTAAGGAAAAACAGTTAAAATACCAACCAGACTCATGTGTACAGAAATAGTCGTGTTAACATGATGGGACCCATAAACTGATGATAGACTRAAACAAAGCAAAAGGTGATTTTCCAGTAAAACTAAAAGAAGCAGTCTGAGCTCAAATATGGTTGTGATGTATTTGTTTTTGAATTTAAGTGGCACAAGAACAGTTAGCTTGCTGACCACGGCACCTTGTACATATCCATGTGTCTGTGTGTGTGTGTTTTTTTTTTTTTTTTAAGACCACATAACTGCAAATGACTTTTACAAAAATAAAACACACGGCCATTCCTACACCTATTTTGCTGTCCAGTTTTAAATCCAAGAACTTTTTTTTCTTTCTTTTTAAAATCTCACTAACTATTAAGGAATCCAGGTTGAGCTGCTCTTCTGCAGCTTCCTGTCTTCTTTAGTTGTTGTGTTTGACCTTGAAAACTTAATTGATTCTACAGCTAATGCCTGCTTTGAAAGTGAGCTAGAAATTCACAGGGTGATAACAAACAGAAATTGAAAGAATAAAAAGGTCTATGGACAGTAACATCTGATACAGAAAGCAGCTGATTTGGGGTAGCAGGAGATCTAAGGCAAAAAAAAAAAAAAAGTAGGAATGATGAATTTCTGAGCAAGAATAAAATTAAAATTAGCCAGATCTTTGCTTCAGTTGTCTGAAACCAGTGACAAACAGAACAAACTATCACTTAGACTGTATGTCTCACTCTGTCTGTCAGCACTGGTATCACTCTGATTCTCTTGACAAATTCTTTTAACAAGAGCCAGATCATAACATATGTTAGCCTATATTATCAGGACGTTCAGTATTCCAGTGTGTGATGGCCAATTTACTTTTTCTATGTCCCAAAATATTAGTGTTACAGCTTTAGAAAGTCAGCATCTAGACCCACTCCTAGAATTTCGTCTTTCTGTGTAGCAATTGATGAAGCTAGGTGGTGGGGATGGGTGGCAGAGAGCAAYAATTCATTGTCTACAAGTAAAATCCAGTCATGCCTTTGCCATGAAGTTGCCAAAATATTCTGTTCCTTCAGTAGTAGACAGCATGCTGACAAAAGTTGTCTTCTAGAACTGGCAAAGCTGAGCTCACAGGCTTCTCACAGTTGCCTCTCAGAAGACTGCTGTTCCCATCAAAGTGCTGATGGAGGAGTTTCTGGGAGAAGTCCTAGACAGAAGGCTATCATAGAAATAGCCAGGGCAGTGCAGGCTAACCCTGTAAATTGCTGATTTTACTTGAACTGAGAGCCACTGGACTATGATAAAAGCTGAGGGCTATAATTCCACTCCTTTGGCAAAGAACAATTTTGAAGAGGTGATTTCCTCTTGGAGAGTGTTGAATAAATGGAGTCAGTTTGCCCTACTGCAATGAAGCCAAAAATAAAGAACTCACACACTCATATATATAGCAAATGACTTCCTTGCCAAATATCTATACAGACTCTTTTTTTTTGGCACTGCTCATCTATTAAATGGGACTGTTTTTGACATGTTATCTTGTTATCTGCTTCACTTATGTACTTGGTACTTTGAGCTTTGGAATGGGATTTTTGTTCACTCTCTCCTTATATTAGCAGCTTCAGCTTCTCTCAGGAACACTGGCCAGTGTACTGGAATCCAGAAGCGAGGAAAAAAMCGTGAGACTTCTTAGAGCACGGATATTTTTACACTGTCTGTCTGCGTTCTGATAAAGGAGAGGAATGGTCTGTAACAGAAACTGCGGGCTCCTCACCGGGGCCATCATCGGAGCTGTGCTGGCTATCTTTGGAGGAATTCTGATACCAGTCGGAGATAACATTATAAGCAAGGCAATAAAAAAGGTACACATTATTTCTCTTTTAATTCTAATCATTTCTGGTTACTGAATTGTTGTTATTTCTGAATATTTTGCTAATTTCTGTTACTCTTTTTTTTTTCTTTTTTTTTAAACCCCTGATCTTTGGAATGTACACAACCCCAATTTAGTCCTAGCAGCTTTCAGTCACGTGAATCAAGCAGGCTGCAGCAAAGCATTTTTAAAAATTATATTAATTATGTTATTATGTGTACTTGCCTGCTCTCTCTTATGATTCACAWGAGGAGGATCCAAAATATTGTTTCAAAGCTGAGTTTGCATTAACATAATTTGAAAATAATATATTTTTTGTGATTGTTAATAGTTTCTTTTTTACCATGATGATCATCTACTTATTTCTCTGCATCTTTTTCTTATTTTGCAACTCACTTCATGCACTTAAATATACTTTCTGCCAATATCCTCACTAATTCCTAATGCCAAATCTAATGCCAGTTACACACATTCAGCTCATGTTCAGTGTTCAAGAATGCTTCTTGATGAAGGTTGTGAAGAATAATTGAGCTAGAACATTATAGAACTTGCAGAAAGTTTCTTTTAGAGGATTTCATCACTTTAATATGTCATTTTATCTTTAATTAAAAATAATAATTTTTCTCAGATCCTCATAAAATCCCCTCCTAAGGGCCTAAACCATAATCTGAAGTGAAAGAACGTGGAAGCCCTGGGATATCCCCCATAGTTCTCCATGTGGTCACAGTTGCTGCCTGCATGGTGCGTTCCCCTGTAGTTAAAAATCTAGAAATCTTAAGGTTTTTGGGTGATGGTTATTCCTCCCAATGAACCACTGTAGAGCTAAAGACCTTTCTGGCAGACCATCCTTAACTCATCAACTGTTAAAGCTAACTGAGTAGCTGGATACATGAACTTCCAGGAAATATTAAACTGTCTGTCGAAGTCCTGCCTAGAGTCTAATATCACTTTGGAAAGAATYGAAATAAGTATAATACTTTAATTTTGACAAAGCAGCAAAACCAGTGAAAAAGTCACTCAATAACAATTTTGTAGTTCTTCACATACTTGAAAAGTATTTTTCAGAATTTTTAAAGTTCAGATAAACCAAAAATRTTTAAATGAAACACAAGCATGTCTTATTACATAGTCTCATCTGCCTTCACACAATTTGCAAAAAGATATAGTGCTTACTTTTGAAAATAATTGTAATTGATTGACACATTAAAAAAATTGAGTTTTTTTTTGGAAAAAAAAAGGCATAAAAGATGTGGACCTCCTTACATTATTTACTTTTAATTAATCCAAAATGTTTTTTTATGCTTTCATATTTTTCAATGCAAATAATATATACTCGCAATATTATGTGTTCATCTGTTTGCTTACAATAATGAACCTGTATRCAGCATACTTTGTACATTTCTACGTATTGAATTACAGCTGTATAACCTCTAAGTACTAAAGTTTTAGCAAGGTAAATTTTCCCCTCTATTTCTCTACAACTTTCTTCAACTCCTTCTACAAATGTTAATGCAGCTTTTTTTGATGTATGAAGAAAAGAGAATTCATTAGGGTATTCATATGAATCATGTTAGACTAAATTTGTAGAGGTTTTATTTATTTAAGCATGTATTTTTTCCTAATTGCAATTCAGACTGCATTATTTCTTTTCTATTTATCATACTGATTTTCCAATGAGACCATGAGACTCAGACAAAGCTTTTCTAGAAAAGATATGCAAAAGGTCAACCAGATGAAACATTTAATGCAACATCTGTTGCATAAGATGGACTGAAATCCAGCCAATTCTTATTTACTTGTGTTGATCAAAGGGCTAGTAAGAAAAAGTGACTATTTTTTGCTCATGGAGCAATTTAAGATAAATATATAGCTGATTATGGACAAAATGTCTGATGAATAGAGAAAATGTTTTTTTCTGAAACATTTCTCCTTTGGAAATGTCTTTTTTTTTTTTAATAAATGTTTGGTAGAAACAGTTTCAATGAATTCTTATTCAGAGTTTGCCAAGAATATAAACTCTGAGAAAGGGATAAAGCCTCCTGATTAAGGTGTTCCTCAGATACGGTCCATATACTTTCACATTTCTATTTTGACTGAAAAAGAGAAGTTTGAAGAAGGGTCTTCATGAACTGTTCCTTGTTTGYCACACACCATGTTTCCTCATGGCAAGATGGCAAGATTCAGGAAGTCTGTATTTCATTTGCTATTGGGATTTAAAAAAAAAAAATAAAATAAAATAAAAAAAAAGATTTCTAATGAAAGAGAAAAAAAAAAAAAGACCATCACATTTGCAAGCAAAATATCTTAAAATTCTGCATAGTCTAAAACCTGAAAAGAGTGCCCCAGCTGTTCCTCAGCCTTCACAAAGTATATTCCTACCTTCCTTTCTGAAGTACATTTCAGATTGAAGAAGTTAACCACACTTAGGACACTTTACACTGCTATGAGTCAAATTATCATAAGTTACTTTTTTACAAAAATTTATTCAAATCACATAAGCATTATTTTTTTCTCAAGGAAGTTCATTTGAATTTGCTGGTATTTCCCAATAAAGAGGGACAGCTTTCATTTCAAAAATTAGCTCCATCCAAATTGCTTTTGCAATTCTACTGGCAGCAGACAGTTAAGCACTGCTGGTGGTCAAGTACACATCTCTCTGGTAGGCCAGACCCTAGAGTCCCATTTAATTTTTATTGCAGTCATTGAGAGATTAGCCTGGATAAATTGTGCACAGAATATCTTCTTGCAAGGCTGACTGTTGTTCTTAYAGCAAAGCGAAAGTATCTGCAAGGCATATGCTTACTCAGATATTGCTAGAAACTGGATCAAGAGTCAGTTATCTCCTCATAGACAGATAGTGTTTTCCACCCTTTTTTAAAACAAAGTCCATGTAGCACATAATACTAAAATATCACCTGTTCATATGATCTAGTTTGTTAACCTGTAACTGTGCTTCAACACAAGACTCTTTTCTAATCCAAGTTTGCTACACGTACACCTCTGACTTTACTTGGTTCAGCTGGTCCCAATCCAGCCTCCAGCAGAGGGGCTGAAAAAATGTAAGAACTATGTTTTTCTGAATCTTTTTAGAGACTGTGACTGTCACTTGCAGAGCACATTCCACATACAGAGCACAGTCCTAAAGAACAAAAATCCTACTTTTCTCAAACAGTGGCTCTATCCAGGAGGCAGGCAGAGTTGTGATTCTATGAAGAAATTAGTGGTTTAGAAAACTGCCRGTGTTGCAGTTATAAAAAGGTTGAAAATTTCATGCTTTCATATGCATTTTAACTGTCACTGCACATTTTTTTTTGTACAMTATCATGTCTAGTATCATGCAAAATAAAAGAGGAAAAGTCAGTTAAAATCAGAAATTTTCCAGCTGAAATTGTTAAAATGAAATGTTATGAATATGAATATAATGTTACACAATATATTAAATTCCATATAAATTGATAATACRGCCTGGTGTGTTTTACCATAATACTTTAGTGCTGCACTCTCTCTGTAGAGTCCTCAGGATTAGACTTTGCTATTTTTAGCTATAAAGTTATCAGTTGTATCTATTATAATATTTAGTCATCTGTCTCTCTACATATAGAGACATATAATGTGCATACGTCAGAGAACATATAAGATATAAACTAGTAGCAGCTTTCTTGCTGTCTAAAGCACTCAAGACACAACATTTGTGAATTCCCCCMAAAAATCTTTTTTCATCTTTTTATCAATMAATTGTATTTTGTCCTTCTTCAGAAACCATGAKGACTGCATTTATACAGCAAGCCTATATTGCTAGCTGACTCAGTATTTCTTGAATTTATATATTGCTAGTTGATCCATGAAAACGGTGAAAAAATATTGCTTGAGAAACAAAAGTGGATCAACTTCCCATYGGTTTCACCCAGACTCTTGCACAATTTGGACATGGGAGGAACTTGGCTGTGTGGCAAAGACATGTTGTATAGCTACTTTTGCTACTAGCAGTAGACTGTTGTGTAAGATATTAGAAATTACAGAAGCTGAAGTAAGTTGATTAGGGAGTTGGTTTGGATTATGAGCTGCAAATCAGTAGGGCACATACTACCCTCCCTTTCTTAAGATCATGAAGCTAAGCTCAGCAGTTTTAAAATGGAAGCATGACCAAATGTAGAAAGGAATACTCTACTTAAGGCTGGTTTTAAAAGTGATCATCCAGATGAAAGCCAAGGGCTTGCTGGTGTGAGGATACTAGTATTATTATATTATTAAATAAGAACATGAAGGAGGACATAACTTTAGAGCTTCTTGTACTTTAACTCACCACTTTCACTGTCTAAGCATGTGACAGAGACACATGGCCTTTATGGCAGGAGTACATTAATACATATGATGGCTCGAAAGAACTGAAAACAAGATCTTTCCTTCCCTCCTTTTTTTGCCCTATTGCTTCACTTGTGCSAGCTCTGGTGTTCATCTGACCCTTCCTCTATCCCCATATCCACACAAGGGAATCAARCAACTCAAATCAAGCAACAACAAGAACAACAACAACAAAAAGAGGAAGTAATATTCCCCTGGTTTTGCAAACAGACCCATAGATCCTACTCCTGGAAGACTCATGCCTGTCACAAGGCAGGAGGAAGCACCTGGCTCAGATAAGTGGTAGGCTGCCAATCCTTCTGGCCCTACTCCTCGTTGTGGGCACATCCCTGGGGCTGCATCTGCAGTGCTCTATCTTCTCTACTGGGATTTGCCAGGGCATAATTCCAAGTCATGGTAGTTCTTCTCACATGAAAAGTGTAGAGTAGTGCCCAGCTTGGGCACTGAGGACAGTAAATTTGTTCTAGATCAATAAGGAAAGTACATATAGTATTGTACAATGAAGTGTGCTGAGTATAAAAGGGATCTTCACTTAGCCTACAGTCTCAGTTTATATGGAAAGCTGTTCTCACTGTTGTAAAAAAAACTAGTGTAAAGTCCTGCACAGTGCTTCTCAGCTTTCCCTTTAATAGCAAAGATAAGAGGTGAAACAAAGACTTATCGTTCTGAGAAAATAAAACCACATTTATGGAGTAAGATGTGGGGGAGCTTATGTTTTATTTTCTCAAAAGTTGGCTCATAGTCTTTGATTTCTGGAGAAGTTAGTGCTGCGCTGTGTCCTCTTGGCTATGTGGCTTCCAGGAATCCTCCCTGTCCTGGTTGAACAGAAGCAATAGATTAAATGCTCGTGTCCCTGGATACTGATGAGTGTGGACTACAGCCAGATCCGGTCAGACCGAACTGCGCATTTCCTTTATATTAACACACATTTCTCAGAACTTTGGAGCAATTCCCTCTGAAAGCTGAAAATATATCCAAGTCACGAAAGCATTTATCATTTCACCTATAAAAAATTACAGAAAGAGACAAACAAGGATATGGTATGCCCCACCTCCAAAAATGCCCTAACGCCTGGATTGCAGCAGTGTTAGAGTTGTTGGCCTCCCAAAGTTTGCAAAACAAGGCCAAAAAGAAGTTTGGCTATAGTAAGGTCTCAGTGCAAGACCTCGAGCTGATAACACTTTTACTGCTGCCAAGTTTCCTTTCCTTCTCACAGAAATGCACATAAAACACAGGGACTATGCAGAGAGCAAGCCTCATGTTTCACACCAGCAGGGCATTTATAAATCCACCCTACAAAGAGCCTTTATCCAGAAAAAGTCCCATCTATGGAAAGTGTTCTCCAAGACAAAGCATTTGCTTCTCGCTGCAGGGCTCCTTAACAGGAATCGCCCTTTTTTTGATGCTCCTTTCTAAACAAGTCTAGTGGCATAAAATTATAGTAGAAAGAATATCTGGCATATAGTAATTTTAAATGTCTTTTCCTCCTTCAGAGATCTCTGGAGGGAATCTGGCATTTTATTTTCTGCTACTCTGTGAGCTGTGGAAATTAATTAATCAATATTGTAACATACCATTGAACTTTGGCAGCTTGGACTTTTCTGCTTATTTAAAAAAAAAAAATAAAATTTTTGCCACCAAGAAGAAAATCTACATTATCCCAATTCCCTGTGAAAATCACAGAGAAAAAGGACTGCAGACCAAGCAGAGCAGACATGCCCCCTGCAATAGCAGGAGCATATTGTCTCCTTTCACTGTCCAAATAAATTCACAATCCACAGTGGACTAAATGCATAATCTGCATTTAGCATATTTTGTCTGTGTACCATAAACATAAAATGGTTGGTTACTCCAGAAGACCCTTGAGGTCCTGTCCTAATGTGGTTATATGGATATGATGTGCATATTTTGATGTCATTTCCTGGATCTGGGAAACATTCTTAATGGAAAGTGAAAGTGATGACAAGAATTCTCTGATGAAAAAAAAGGTCTGCAAGAACACTGTTTTTTTTTTCCATGTATAAAATGCTGTAGTGCAAGAGTAATGCTCAGAGATAACACTCCGTTTGTCTCCTGGAACATGAGCAAATGTATGAAAAGGAGATTATAGATTTGAAAAACTGTTGGGTATACTTCAATCATTTAAAGTATTTCCTTTTACAAATATTAGTGGATTTGGTAAGTACTTGGAAACTATGGCAACGTCCAGTGATGCCAACAGAAATTGCTTGAATTGAATTTGCTATGGGCTGCAGTTGCAGTTATATCATATTTGTGGTGTCTCATTCTAGGGAATCACTTTTGTTCTCACTTTTCAGAAATGTAAGTTTTCATTCACACATTGGCCCCAAAAAATGTTTGCTTTATGCCTCATTTGATGTTAAAATAGCTTTATTTTACTGTTTTTGTTTGTTTGTTGGGGTTTTTTTGGGGAGGGGTGGAGTCACCTTCTACAATCATCTGGAAAGTAAATGCTGTCTCACTTTTTTCCTGCGGCTAAGTAATATTTTTTGTCCTTGTAATTTTTGTCCTTGTAGGAAACTGTCATTGCAAATGGTACCATCGCTTTTGAAAATTGGCTTGTGCCAGGAAGTACAGTTTACAGGCAATTTTGGATCTTTCATGTTCAAAATCCCTCAGAAGTATTAGACAATGGAACAGCTCCTAAACTAGAACAAAGAGGACCATACACATATAGGTAAGAAAAGCACTCTGAATATGTGAATTATCATATCAGAAGTCCTGTTAAGGCCTGAGAAAGTTCTGATGAATTAGAATTTCTTCTTGAAAGGTCAGAGTATTATTGCAGTCAGACTTGACAGAAATACCTAGGATATTTGCAGTTACTTACAGCAATCACAATCAATTTCTGTACTAGATCTCAAAATAGGAAAAGGTATATAAAAATAGACAATCAGATGTGAAGCTTTTTGCTCCTGTGAATAAGCGAATGCCTGTTCAAAAGGTATTCAGCATAAAAGCACACAGGAATGTGCATTTGTGGCTGATCAGTTTTTGACAGCCTTTTATACAAGCAAGAAATCTGTCAGATGCCCTAAAAACATAAGATATTATCATTTGTTAATTTGAGTAATGTATTTAATTTTATCCGTTATGATGAAAGCTTAGTTGATCCTTTATGAATATTTTTAATTTACAGGGGTTCTTTTTCCAAGTTTTTCTGTGAAGAGTTTTTCGTATTCTGAATGTACTAGCTGATGCCCAACTGCAACAGGCCAGCACCATTCAAGAAAGCTTTTAATCATTTTTCTAACTCGGAAGATAATTTTACCATAGGACTAGTTCATGTTTCCTACGAGATTAAGTCCAGTGCCTGCCTGGCACTGGCACAGTAATCATTTCGTGAAGTGATAAGATATTACTTTATCAATAGCTTTGGAGATGTATTTATAAGACAATTTTGGACTGCATCATATGAAACTGAAGTGCTGTGAGACCTAAAGGAGTATTCATTTCTCTTTGGAATACCTTGGTAATAGAGAACATGGGAAAACATAAGTATTGGTTCCATAGGAGTCAGGAAGGTAAGCAGGATGGGATGACCAAGTAGCAGTTAAGAAATGCTGAGGAAAGTGAGTTCCCACCAAAGGGAAGTGCTTTACTTTCTGTAAAGGGTGGTGCTGATTTTCTCAGGGGTTAATCTCTGCCTCAGGGTCAGATGAGACTGAATAAGCATGCACCACTCCTCTCACTGCTGCAGTCCCGCTCATCCAGGACATGAAAGATATTTTATATATCAAGTCTACCTGAATGACTGAGATGATACTTTCAATTGCCCCTTGGATATTTAGCTATTTTTTTACAAGCAGAACATTTGTTCTCCCTGGGATTCTGATGGAATATGAGATACCTTGTTTTAAGTGTTTTGTTTCTATTCAGAGGAAACATTACTTAGCAAGCAAACATCCAATCTTTCAGTTAGTTGGGCTATACATTAGGCAATTGAAAAAATGTGCATAGAAACCACTCCCAAGACCACAGAATCACAGAATATTCAAGGTTGGAAGGGACCTCTAGAGATCATCTAGTCCAACCTTYCTGCTCAAGCAGGCACACCTAGAGCATGTGGCCCAGGGTGGCATGCAGGCRGGTTTTGAAGAAGAYGTCAAGAAGCCATGATCCCATCTTCTTTTGGGATAAGGTCCAGTTGCAGTGGTTATTTGTGTACTGTGAGAAAATACTTGAACCTTTTGGCCATGCAGGGAGATTCGATGGAGTACACTGAAGACCATTTTGGGCCCACATCCCTGCTATTTTGTGTGTGTGTTTGGCACCAAGGAATGAGAGGAATGAAAGATGCCTAAATCTTATCCTTGCACAGTCATAGTGTGATAGCAGCTCACCCCTCAGCCAGCTGGGATGAGTTTCCCAGGCCACAGTACAGACTAATGTCACAGTGTCACACAGCATCTGATGGCCTCTGTCCCTGCAGAAGGGCAGCAAGTAGGCACGGAGATAGAAGTATCCTATGTCAGAGGTTTGTATTGTAATCATCTCCTAATAGATATACAGGTACTTATTGAGCAGGGCTATTTGGAATCTCAGTGGCGCTGAAAGGCCGTTGATAAACCCAAACACCTAATAAATGTTAACAAAGTGATTCCCAATTTTAATTTATCCTGTGATTCCCTTCACTGCAATTCAAGCCGAGAAAGCAGATCTCAAAAATGTTTTCTAAGCACTCCCAGTCATCCTAATCTAACAACATGCAACCACAGGAAATCTTAGAAAACAATGTGGTTGAAGCTCAGTTAATTCAGAAAAAAAATTAGAAAGTATAAAGTTCTGTACTAAAATGATATGCAAAAGGAAATAATTGTTACATCTTAATATCATGATTAAATTYATGTTAGACAGCATGGAAATATTTGCAAAATAAATGTCTTACATAAAAAAAGAATTTTCATAAATGTTCATAAATGAGAAGCTTATTTTTTTCAGTGTCATAAATGGTCATAAAATGTTCATTCTTCAAAAACTTTCTTCCAACATTTCAAAGAATTTTCAGCATGTATGGTTATGTGCTGACTTTAAAATCAAATGTTAAATATAGTCTCTGCTCTATTTTTTCATTTCAAGGGTGCGCTATTTACCCAAAGAAAATATCACTGAAAATCCTGATGGCACAATATCCTACATGTTGCCTAATGTTGCTCGTTTTGAACCTGATATGTCTGTTGGGACAGAAAATGATACTGTTACGTGCCTCAACCTTGCTGTTGTTGTAAGTAATGAAACCATAATACAATCCTATCTCTGTGTTCAGGAAAAAAAAAAGTCATTCTGAGTGTACATTGAGGTTACTTCAAGGTTTCTTATTTCCCAGAGTAATGCTAACCATCTTCATTTGAGAGTTGACTGTTCAGTGTCAGCAGAAGCACAATTATGTGCTTGGATGAGAGATCCCAAGGCACCCTTCTATGAGTATTAACAGTATGAGGCAGGGCTGCTGTACATATCACTGCCACAGCTTCTAACAGTAGTGCCATATAGCACCGCTGCGGTGTCTCTCCCTTGACAAGACAGCATCTTGTCCTATTGAGCTCTTAGTCCGTTAAAGAAAACCTCAATAAACACCATTTAAACAGGGCKTTTTACTCTAGGTATTTCTGGGTCCCAATTCCTAGAAAGGCCCTGCCCGGTTCACTGGACAGCTCTGACTTTAAAGCAGACATAAATTTCACTTTTTGTTTCATAACCTATGGTCAAAACATTCACAGAGGAGCGAGGATTCACTTAGCAGAACTGAGAGCTTTCACACTTTGCCAGCCTTGAAGGGAATGGAACCTACTTCTCTGCCTCAAAATCCAGACTAAGCCCTGATTTCTGCTTGCTTTGGGTTCAAGTTCAGATAAGAATCAAAGATTCATGAGTAAACAAACAAACAAACAAAAATATCAACAGAGAGATCAGGGCTGTCTTGGTTAATTTCATCTTCTGGCTGGCTCTGACTTTCCAGTTCCTCTTCCCATAGTGCTAAATGCAATCTGAGAGTCTGCTCAAGGGCCTGGGTTGAACTCTTACTTTAAGAGTGTCACTTGTTTTTACACAATTTTACTCATCAAAATCATTACCATTTCCTGCTTCACCAGACAGGCCAAAGTAGAAAATTTGTTTGTTTTCCATAAGATATTCACAAGCTATTCAGTGACTAAAAGGACTTGGTTTTGTGCAAATACCTCTGCAAATGTTCATTATAGTTTTCTGGTAAAATACTACTTTCTTTTCTGTTGAAATAGGAATTCTTAGGAATTCTTTTCTGTTGAAATTTATAATTAAAGGTGCCCAGAAAAAAAAAAAAGGATGTTTTCCACAAAAAGAAAAAAAAGTATTCTTTCTGAGAAAAGAATTAATGGAGCTTCTGTACTTAGGCAGTACAATGCAGAAGGCACTCATATTGCTACRAGTATGGTTTTATCACCATAGAGAATATGAAGCACAGCTGATAAATAATAAGGCTCATATTAAACATGCATACATGAATGTAATACACATAAATAGTGTGAATTGAGTCTAAAGTATGTGACATATGGAGGTGACATAGAAAACATAGAAAACCAGAAGTGTTACAAGCTTAATTATATGATAGGTAATTATATATATATGATATGTATATATGGTCTATATATAGTATATGATAGAGATTAGGAATAATCTAGTGACTTCATAATAATGGCAAAATTTCTGTTTTTATATGAATGTGCTCATTATTTTATTAATGAATATCAGCTTTAAGTAGCTATTTGAATTTGAGTGAACTATAACTCTAAAATTCAGCTTTAATTGCCAACTTTTCCAGAGATTGCTTGGAGTCAGTCTCTACATTTTTAATCCAAAGCACAAGTATAATTTTATACTAATCATTAATCATTTTATTGCTGTTRTAGGCTGCACCAGCTCTGTACACAAACAATTTCATACAACTGCTATTAAACACTTGGATTAAAGCTTCTAAGTCATCCATGCTGCAGAATAGAACAGTGAAAGAAATATTGTGGGGTTACAAAGACCCTTTCTTGAACAAAGTCCCCTTCCCCTTGGACCCAGTCCTGGGAGTTTTCTATCCGGTAAGTGAAACCAATGAGGAGAGAAAGCCTTCAGCTACTGTTCTGTGAATAAGGATTGAGACAACTGCTGTTAGGAAGTAAAAAAAAAAATCCCTCGTATGACTATGTCTAACTGTTATTCTTTCTTGTATCTGTTACAGTATAATGGCACATCTGATGGAATTTATAGAGTTTTTACTGGGAAAGATGACATAAGCAAAACAGCAATCATTGAAACTTATAAGAACAAAAGGTATAACAGCATTGTATGTATAAATGCACACATTTTCAAAATATGGATTTTGAGGCCAGTTTCACTAACAAGTATAGTTAAGTGGAAAATCTACAACAGTTCCAGGGAATGCTGCATCAAGACCCAAGAGCAGTAAAGTCACCTTCCCTTTCAGCTTCCCTTTCAGCTATTCATGATTTTGTTATGAGCTTAGATCTAAGGTCTTATTTCTGTGATATAAATAGTTGCTTCTGTTATGTATGCTTAAGTAGTTAGATCCCTTTTCCCCTATTCTAAGAAATCACACAGTTTATCCGAACATAGGAATTAATGTCACTATCCTGTGACTTTGCTGATGAATTAAGCTTATATTAAAACAGTGAAATTTAGCAGAATAAAAGGATTACGTGGTATAATATACTACATGCAGCATGACATATTTTTTTCTTTTTAATCTTAAAGGAATCTTTCATACTGGGAAGGTCACTGTGACTTGGTTAATGGCACAGGTGAGTATTAAAGCTTTTTTAAACTTTCAGCATATTTCTTGGTATGGCAGGGGACAATTCTTTAGTTAATTCCCCTGGGATTTTATGTATACATTGAGATCTGCATTTTGCCTATTAAATGTCTATATAAATAGATACATATACTTACTGCTTACATACATAGGTGTTTGTTACCTTATAGATGCAGATTACTACACATTATTATGCATTAGTTTATATATAGTATGTGCATATACGTACACACACACACACACACACACACACACACGCTTTTCGGCTACAGCAGACAAGAAGAAACACCAGAAAATAATTAATCTCTTTTAGTTGTCTACATTCATATTCTTGACTGTAGCAGTTGAAAATTATCTCTGCCTCGCAATGCTTCAAATTCACTTTCACTATTGAAGAATAACATAAAAAGCACCATAATGGATTCAAGACAAAGTTTTTCCTGAGTTTGAAAAGATAGGTAGAGTTAATGATCTGCAGAAATTGAGGTGGCAGAGGAAAACCATCGCAGACAATCTAGTTTGGAGGCCATTAGCAGATAAAAAGGAAAGGAAAAGATTAGTCTGGAATCAATCAACTAGGGAACATTTTAAAATCTGCTTTTACAATTAATATGAAAACAATCAACCTGTTCAAGGGTGTATTTATTCAAGGTGACATAATTGTTTCTTCTTGGTGAGTGAAAGTGTCACTTTGAGGACGTCAGAGCCCATAGAGTCTGGCTAGCAGATGTCATGATGCAGGTTTTTGCACTAATGAGAGTCTCACAGGCAGAGACCATGAGGTCTTTCATGGGGAAAGGGCAGAACTATATTTAAAGATGTGTATAGCATGTGTATAGCTCTATGAAGCACTAGCTGAATGAAATTCAGAAGAAATAACTAATTCATTTGGTGAAAAATAAGCAGCAAAGGACATTGGATATTGGAAGATGACTTAAAATATCTCTGTGATTTACTATTTTCTAAGGAAAGGCTAAAATCATGTAAAGGTCCAATATCCAATGCGAAGATAGGAGATTTTGTAAGAGAGGTATAAGAGAAACAGCAGAGGAATAAATGAATCTTACGGGACTTTATCCTGGCAACAAGCAACAAAGGACACAAGAAACTTTGAGCAATTTATCTTATATGAAAACCTCTTCCCAGCAGCAGGTCATCAATGAGAGAACCTGAAAACAAGCAGGTTTATTTTGGTTGTACCATTTTAGCTAAGGAGATCATTCTCTTTATATCTCACAGCATGTGATAAGAGATTTCAAAGTATTTCAAATACTTCAGAAGAATTTGAGTTTTTAGAAATCTGTAGATCGGGAAACTTCAGCTCCTTTTTATACTATGTGAATATTTTTGAACCAGAAAAGATTTTCTTGGTTTCTGGGACTTTTCTTCTATCTTATAGACCTTGAATCTCTTTTCCCATTGCCAGTATTTTTTTCCTGCACAGCTGATGATAGAATTAACACTTGGGTAACTAGACTAAGAGCTCCAATACAGTGAAACAAAGAATGTCATTACACAGTTCATGTGAATATTCAGTTTGRCTCCTGATGGGAAGATGTGTTTAGAGATTTTTGCAATGTCTTGTAAATGCATATGAGAATTCCTTTGTACCTTGTAAACTTTCCACCAAAGAGGAGTTTTTGAGTAACATGCTGAAGTAAATAACTAGATAATGAGATTAAACAATATTCTGGTACAGGGTTTGAGATAACTCATCTTTTTCAAGCTCTCTGAGTCTTCAACAATTTAGAGCATGTGTCTAGGACCATCTCGGATCTTCTTTAAGACAAACAGCTTCCCTCAGCATTGCTCAAGTGACAGTGCATAATTTAACTTTCTCTCTCTTGCCAGCTTGATTCAAAGATATCACAGATGTTTTTGATTTTTTGGTTATGGCTGCTAAGAAACTGAACAGAAATTGTAKCAAGAAGTAACAAATGCAATGATTAGAGGCTTGTTGCAATGCCTTATTTGGGAAAACTGCTGAGATTCCTCTTGCTTAACTCTAAATACCTGCAGTGAAGAAATATTCATCTGAGCTTTCTGTCTTTTTTATTTTTAATACTAAGTGTAGAAAAGCCCTCACCAAAGTTTCATTCCTATGACCTATTTTGCATGTCTACCACTAGATGAGATGAACTTGCTCTAGAAGAGATCCATTTTCTCCATTAACTATAGAGAGAATCTACACATAGCAGCTCTAGTTGGTCAGTCTTTGGGGAAAAAAGTTTAGTTACATTTATTAAATATTTGGCTTTGAAGTCAAATATTTGGCTTTGAAGTGATCCATACAAGTCTATACAAAGGTATTAAACCTCTGGACTACATATACCTCAAAGCAGTGGTAGCAGGCAATAGGATTCCTACTGTTTTTTGTATCCTATATTTTAACTGGTATGATCATGTAGCTTCACATCAATGAAAAACTAGATGTCACAAATTGGCCTGTCCTCAAAAAAAAAAAAAAAAAAAAAGTCAGTCTTATCTGTGATGGTTACCTGTCATTATGCAATAACTTATGTAAATATTTTCTCTATAAATGACTCAGTTTTATTTATCTTTTTTGTAGCTTTATGGGAAAGCAATAGCTGAACATTGAACTATAAATTAAATCATATCTTGTAAAGAAAATTGCTTTAAAGCTCTAAAGTTTTTTTTTCCTTTTCACAGATGGTGCATCATTCCCGCCGTTCGTTAAGAAGGATCAGGTACTGCGCTTCTTCTCCTCTGATATTTGCAGGTACGCTATTCCCTTACTGCTCTGCATACGTCCTTGTGTGTACCACCAAAATGCTCTCTAGTTTCAGAAGGTCACTGCCTGGGCTCAGGCTGTTGAGATATTTCAGCAGAAATGTTTTGCCTCAGCACCAGGAAATTAATGAGCTATGCTCATGATTTGTAGCCTGATTCTTCCACTTCTATTTATATGAAGAAGCAAGCTGTTTAGAGTACCTGCTATTTCAGCTAGTTACCGATTCAGGAATACCTTTGCTTGATTTCACAGAGTGAGACAGTGGTTCACAGAATGAGACCTATTAAAGACATCAAGGTCCACTGGGTTCAAAGTCTTGAACTTCTTCCAAGATTAGGATCCAGCTTCAAACCTGCCTTATTTGGTCTGAGAATGCAATTTGCCCCTAGGAATAGATCAGGAAGYGGTTAAGCCCGTCTTGAGGATTTCAGTAGAATATCATCTACACAGAACTCACTGTCAAAAGCTACRTACTCAAAATTGCTTTCTCACAGGATATTTTGGTGTATTTTTAATGTATTTACAAACTAACAAACCTGCTAAATTCATCCCATGCTGATGGATTTTCAGGCTGCTGCTTCTACTGCGGCTATCCAGTGTCACCGTGTTCTCCGGTGGGATAGCTGAATGCAATGTTAGAAGATCTAAAGTGCATGAGAGTATATTTACTTTGGGAGGTTCAACCACTTTATTTGTTTTGCTTCCTGGAAACAGCTGCTTCCTTTTGATTAGGTTTAAGGTGGACCATTTGCTTTGAAAATTGATTATTTTTAAAGATTTTTTTTTTTTTTTTACATTACAATTTAATTGTGAAGTAATTTGACCACCCAGACTGGAAGGCATTACTCTGACTATAGAAAAGTGATTTCTGTGTCTTTGGATCAATTTGACTATTTGAGAAATACTCTGAGTAACTCTTCACACAGTTACTAACGAATGAAGAGGATCAGTAACAGTCTCCCAAAGTTTTATATTCTGGCTATTACTGCAAAACCTAGAACTCTTGCTTTTCTTGGCTCTAATAAAAGCATTACTRCACAAACTGCAAGGCTATGCAACAAACAGATCCATATAACAGATTATAATACTTTGGCAAGAATAAGCTTAAGTGGTATTCTGATTTGTATGCAATGGAATTAGATATACGGTTATACCCAGCATACTGTCTCCACCATAAAGCATAGATTGGTATCATTAGGTCATTATAAAAAGAAGAAGAGTAGCAGAGATGATTTATTTTTATAAGTACCTATAATGCATTCCTAAAAAAAACAAGAAATATTTCATAATCACAGTGTTTTCTCTGTAAAGAGCTGTTAATTAGTTTATTAGTTTACAGTTTAATATTTGTTAGTATAAATATTTTTGCCTCCCTTTTTGTGTGTTCATCTGCTTCCCTGTGCTTGTATATCTCTTCACGCTCTTACTTACAGAGGATCCACTCTGCAAACAGCTGCTAGTCGTGTCAAGGCCATTGGCCTGGCCATTGGCTCTCTGGAACAATTTTGTTTCTATATGTGAAAGACAGTCAGAGCATACTTCAGGAGTAGTACTATGGATTCAGACCTATAATGCAAATGACTGAGATGTATTTCTCAGTCAGGTTTATCTCACACTTCTCATATTTATTTTATTCAGATCGATCTACGGAGTTTTCCATAGCAAGCAGAATGTGAAGGGGATCCCTCTCTACCGTTTCACAGTTCCCCGTGAAGCATTTGCATCACCTACTGAAGTTGCAGATAATTATTGCTTCTGCACAGAACAGGTCATTTCAAAGAACTGCACATTAGCTGGAGTCCTAGACATCAGCGCCTGCAAAGCAGGTATAGTAGTAACACAGAACTGCTAAACCAGCCATCTGTCTAGGGACACCTATCTAGGTCTACCTGTTCTGTAGCTAAGGTATTGCTTACTCTAAGGCCCCAAGCACTTTTGTTTATTTGTGAACTCTTCCATAGATTACCTGTGAGTGCTTTCACTTTTCCACAGCTTCRTTTCCCAAAATGAAGACTATAGAAGTTCCATTTTACATAGTGTTGTGAAAAATAAAATCACGATACTAAAGACGGTAAGTTGAAATTGTAGAAATGTACAAATAGAAAGGAAAGAAGAGGGGTTTCATAGCTACTGTGTAACTATGACTATGTAATAGTCATAGTCTATGTGCTTGTGGTAATTCTCACACACAAGGTAGTAACCATATGAGATGTTGAGAAATGCTATTGGCTTAATTTAGYGCAAGTATAATAAACTGAACACATACAGAGTTTGAGTTTGGTGCAGAGTGGATAGCATGAGTTCCCTTCTGTTTTTCATCCTACTAAAACAAGATCATGAAGGCTGCRAGAAATAATGAAGGTCTCATTCTCACATGAGTGTGAAAATGGAAGCACTTCCAGGCCCCTAGTTTGAGCAGTCAAATGGTATTTGCAACCACAATCAATTTTTCTTCATGCAAGCAGAATTACAGAAGTTATCAAATCTTCTGTTTTGGTCTGTTGACAGTGTTAGAATTTTCGTGCACTTCTATAGCTAAATATGTTTGCATGGAAAATAGTCTTCAGAAGATCAACAATGAAACAAGGCTAAATGATTCAAGTAAGTTTATCCGCTTTTTCAAACAGGACGACCAGTGTATATTTCTCTTCCACATTTTCTTCACGCAAGTGATGAAATATTGCATGCTGTTGAAGGCCTGAACCCAAATGAAGAGGAGCATGATACATTTTTAGACATAGATCCTGTAAGTCTAAATATTTGCAAGCTGCAACTAAGTAAATTAGCAATGCTTAAATTTAGTAGAATAAAACTTTTAACAAAGGAATGAAAAAAGGAGACAGTATTTTCATGCTTTCTTTTTCAAGACTTGCACACAAAGGTGTTTTAGTTCTTAGCAGGGGAAATTTAGAGCAAAACTTTGTCTTAGTCTGACTTTTGAAGCTTACAAASTAAATTTGAATTTTTAATTGTTAATAATACTGGATTAAATAGATTCTGAAAGATTTAATGTATGGTATGACATTAACATGTMATTTTCACGTATTTTAATTAAACACTAATAACTGAAGCCTTTCTCTTCCTTCTATACTTTATGTCTTTCAGTTTYCCCTAAGTAGTATTTGGTATAATTATTATCACAACTCAACTAAAGGAAATAACAGAAATCTATTTATTTCCAAGAAAATAACTAGAACTCTGAAGTACCACCAGTTGCGTGATTGTAAAATAGACTTAATATATTTGTTGTAGTTCCTTCAAATAGAACTCCTAAAATGAATGAATTTAGATAGCGTTGACTTCAATGATCTCCAATTTTACATTTACTTCTCTCCCAGTGCTTCACATTCCTGATTTTGTGTGTTAATCAGAGTTGTCTGAATTGGATTATGAATTCTAAGGTTTCAAAATTTTATTTAGCTCTGAATTAGCATGAAGAGGTAAAATTCAGAATTTTTCACTAAATTTTTTTTTTGTCATATAATCTGATAGTTAAAAACATACTTTCAGTGAAGAGATCTGAATTCAAGTATTTGTTTCACTCATTTAGAATAGACATGAACCCCAAATWTCCTAAACCTAAGCTGAAATAATCAAGATTCTGTCTGTTTTTTTGGCAGGGGGGTGGGTAGAGCGGGAAAGCAGATGAAGAAGAGAACTCCACTTTTGTTTCAATATGCTTGGAAAATATTTTCAAATGTTAATGTTTCTTCTTCTCTTACGATACAAATTAAACTTATTACAGTAGAACATTAAGCATGTTCTCAAATAGGGACATTACATTAAGGTCTCAAATAGGAGTGGGGGACTGAAACTGCCATGTTTATATGAATCATTATAATATCAGGATTGATTTACCATTTTTCAACATTAATACCTTTGATATTAAATTGCTGATTAAAAAAGCAACTAGAGTAAATCCTCAAGATCAAAATCTATGGAAAGAATAATGCACTCTTGGAAACACACATATTTTATGAAAATGTAACCATCAGAAGCATAAGAAAAAGAGTCTGTCTACTACAGTGCTTCTCGACACAGTTTGTATTTTAGGGTTATGTCTCCAATTCACCAAATATGAAGAAATACATTTTGCTTTCTTTCTGTCCTTAGATCACTGGTTTTACATTACGATTTGCCAAAAGGCTGCAAGTAAACCTCCTGGTAAAGCCTGCACCAAAAATAGAGTAAGTACTATTTCAGTATAAAGTTTCTAGCTACTTTCTTCAAGATTGTTGATTGGTCTAAAAGGGTGTTCATAGAAGTTAGTGTGAAAAGAAGGAATGAAAATAATTTCCCATGCCTTTTCAACTTTTTTTTTTTTTCAAAAATTCCAAGTGTGATTTGCAGGGAATATAATCTTCTATGAAAGGCCACGCCTTCTATAGCTATGCACTACACTATTATTTTAATACACATTTGATATYGACACAGAAACTCACAACAGAAGCATATACTTAAAGCTAACTTTCTTACAAAGCCCAAATGAGGTCATGAGGACAAAGATCTATTCTCTGTAATAAATCAAATAAGAGAGATAATGTATGAATGCACTGTCTTTGTGTGGATTTTATTGAATATGGGATTGCTAACTGTTTCCCTTTTCTCTATTACTTACATGCAAAGACTTAGTGAAGGTTGGGCTGCAGTACATGTCATAGGTGAATATTACAGAGACCTTTATGCCTTCCAACCAACACCTGGCCGTATCCAGCTTTGGTCTTTCTGAGTATCCACATAAAGAGGATTAGATAGAAAGAGATGGTTGTCTCATATGTTAAATGGCTACTACTAATTGTAGGTTTTTTGTTTCCAACTCAAAACTATGCTACAAATGAACTTCCTGGAAGATAGTCATGTGGGTACTGCAGATGAAATGTGGTTAAATGCAGACTGGGACTRTGTACCATACTAATGGTTTGCCATACTGTAATGTCATACTTGTTTTATTTTTGTTTTTCAGAGCTTTATCAAAAGTTAAGCAACCTTATATTTTTCCTCTTCTTTGGCTAAATGAGGTTAGTGTATTTTTTTGTCTACTAATCTTTATTGTTAATACAGAGAATCCTGGAAATCTGTTAATAAAAAAGAAAGAAAAAAAAACAGATTAATCTAACCTTTTCAGTCATGATAACCTGAAATCAGTCAACTAAACTCATGTTATAGTATGTACATGCCAAGAATGTGTGCAAGATGGAGGACTTGCATACTCACCTTTCACCAATGATTTTCTTGCACTGTTTCAGTCTGCTGTTATTGGGGATGAAAAAGCAGAAATGTTCAGAGGGAGAGTCACCAATCGGATCCAGATGCTGAGTATACTGCAGATAGCGTTAATCATCGCAGGTTCTGTGCTGTTCCTTTCTTTCATGGTTTCCTATTTCATCTGCAGATCAAAGAAATTGAAATAAGTAAGTGGTAATGGTGATTTTTTCATTAACACTTCCTCAGGTTTTCAAGAAGTTAAACTTTAGGTAGTTAGCTATTCTTGTTTTTCAAGTGCTAGTAAAGTTCAGTTATCATTTCAGTTCTTAGGTTACCAATGATCTAGACACCCTTGCTAATGTTTTCAAATTTGGCTCCCAAACTTATCTTTCAGGATGCTCTTAATTTACCCAGGATGGTCTGTTAGGAATTTTCAAAAAGACAATTTGATCTTTTGTGACTTGATGACAAAAAGACATTTTATCCAAGAAAGCTGAACTTTTCAGGGATACCCTGTATTTCTGCAGGATAGAGGGCACACTGCTTCAGACATGAGTGTTTTTCCAGGACATACTCCTGTCTGGGTTAGAAAGTCCTCTGTAAAAGCAATTTTTAGTAAGTGGGCTGAGTAAGGTCTCTTGGATAGTCTTTCATTCAGCCTTGCATTACTTTCACGTTAGACTTAGCAGCTCCTGGACTTAGCCCATTAAGACTAAATACAGCTCTGCAATTGGTAGAATAGCCAAGGGCACTGATAYTAACTGAAAGGAAGAAGTCTTTGGGAGTGATTTAAAAAAAGTGCAGAAGTTGCACTTTTGTCATTGAAGTTGTCATTGAAAAGTGCAGTAAAGAGCCATTTTTAAGAGTATTGTTTATTTCATTAGGAAGAGTACTTGCCTTATAACTTGCTAAATTCTGATTTTGTTCCGTTACAGGTAAAAAAAAAAGAAAAAAGAAGAAACAAAAAGACTTTAGAGGTAGGCAAAAAGACAAAAGAGACAAAAGATATGATACAAGACACACACAGTCTACATTTTATGGAATTCAACATGCTTTTCCATTCTGAGAAGACCAACTCACTAACCCAGAGAAGCTGAAGTTTCCAAAGGCCCACATTTCTGATGCCACTAAGGAGGCCACCATGGAAATAACYTTCAAATAACTTTTATTATATGAACCTTGTTACAAATTTTAAGTGACATTCAAGCAGACTGAAGCTGAGATGTTGCCCGTCTTCTTCCTTTTATGCAACTTGCTATTTTTTTTTCTTCTGGGACTCGCAAGACAAATGAAAGCCGATTGCTGATGTTCTGCCTCTGAGCATAGGCTGGGGAATGACAGCGTTGTTGAGCTCATGCCGTGCTCTAGATTCTCTAACTGCAATGTTTCCYTTCTTTTCCTTCAAGGAATGGAAGCTGTTGCAATAGAACTGCTCTCTGTCCTCTCTTCAGGGATGTGAATTGTGTTGACTGTGAAGTTTATTATGTAAAGTTACTAACTGTAATAAATGATGTTAACAAAAGACTTGCTAAAATATTTGCTTTATGCATTTATGCAGAGCTGGCTCATGCACATGTGAAGTCCGCACAGGTTACCAGGGTCACCAACATTTGGCTCTATGTCTGCTACTGAGCTACTTTCCAGCTCCTAACCCTATCCTCTGTTTCCTGCAAGCTTCTCTTCCTAGCTCTTCCATCACCACCAAGCTCTGCTCCGCCTTAAACCCGCTTTGCCCAAGGCCTCCTGTAGGGAATAATCTGATATGATGCCCTTAGAGTCAAGAGAATATATTCCAGAGTTCGAGAGCCACTATTTGATAAAGAAACACTGTCCCACCTCCTTTAATATAGTAGTTAAAAAAAAAAAAAAAAAGAAAAAAAAAAGCAGCCCCAGCTCTTCACTGATTAKCTATCTGCTGCAAGGAAACATGCAATTATCTTTGTAATGACGTGCATCAGCCAGTAGGCAGATATCAAGCACTGCTATTTGTGTAAATGATTTACTTTTTCATTTAATTTGTTCATCATATCTTAGGAATAAGAGTCAATGGGACAGTTTTTGAGAATCATGAGGTTCTTCTTTTTGGATTCACTTTTCTGCATTCAGAACAGGAACACTTGGTAAGATTTATTCTTGAAACTTTTTGTCCTATAAACTAGGAGCTTCAAAGGAAAAGGAAAATCAAACACAGGGCAGCTTCTCATAACCTGGCAGCTGGAAGTATTGTTGCAATGGACTTAAAACCAGAAAGGTGTATCCTGCTATCAAATGACAATATCTTTAGCCAGGTAACTTAAAATGGTATTTATCTTCTTTGGAAATAACAGGGAAAACAAAAACAAAAACAAAAAAACAAACTACAAACAAAAAACAAGTGCCTAAAATGTTTTGATCTTAATCCCATGTTCTCTGTGGGTAGAGCTGTCTTATGTTTAATAGGTGCATCGGAATTAATGGATCACAGAAATCCCAAGAGACTTTTCTTGATGGCAAGGTCTGATATATGGTTGCATTATTTTTATAGACAAGAGTTGGAAAGGCAAAACAAGAGGGCTGTAGATGTGGAGCAAGCACTGCACTGAAGGGAAGCTGTGCTTTCAAATAGAGAGGTAATGTGTTTGATTGCTCATGGTTCTAGTAAGTGGAAAACAAGTGCTTGCTCATTTTCTGTGTCATTGCTGGTGCTGTGTTCCTGTAGTAGCCCAGGGACATTGTTTGACACAAATTAAGCCTCCCTAGAAGCCTCTGAACTTGTCAAGAAAGCATGAGGAATATATGAAGGTTTTACTTGAAGTCATGAAGTCACCTCCTCTTACAATGTAACAAGCAGAGGTCTGCTATAGTTCAAGATCTAACACTTTTTTTTTTCTCTTTTTTCCTTTTTTTTTAAAAATATAATACAATTTTTTTTTATACTAGAGTTTAGTGGTGGGGGTCTTTTCTCCAAAGGAAGAACAGCAAAGGTCCCAATTATTTTGATATACTAGCATTTCAACTTCATTTTTTTTGGCTTGAAATCCACTGTCACCAAAACAGCATTTGCCCTATTAGTGTTTCTTTGTGCTATTTAGTGATCCAGGAGCAGTGATCCAGGAAGTCAGGCCATGATTTTAGATGTCTCAGGGYCCAATTTTACATGCACACAAATAAATTTGTTCATATGTGTAATCTCATGGATCTCGCTAATAAACTGTGTTCAGCACCTAGACTGCACTTGAATTACGATTAATATTTTTCTTTGTCCAGAGCATTTTTAATTCATGTTATTAAGGCTAATGTTAATTATTTCCATTTGTTAAACCACATGTGGAATAAGCACTTATTAGAAACTTTAAGGAACTCAATAAAAAGGAAAAAAAGCTCAAAATATTCTTTCTGAGACGCATGTCAAAGTGTAAATAAATTTTTCTGTGTTGGATACTGAACTTGTATTTCTTTCTTTTGTGTTTTGGGTATGCTTTCTTTTCCTAGAGACTGATTTTATAAAYTGATGAAAAAATTAGCTTAGGGGTTACTTTAGCATATCCATGTACTGCCCATCATGGTAGCTTAGAAGTGCATTTCCCCTTTGGTGTTCTCCCTTGATGTGTCATAAACACTGGGGACAGAAATGTAGCATTCTGGATTACAGTGAGGAGCAGGCTGTGCCTTTGAGGACAGAGCACTGGCATGTCTAAAATGAGCATTTTGGGTGCAATCCCAGGATACAAAGCTCCAAGACAGACCTTCTTCCAGCTCCTTGATTGGGAGGTGGTGCAGTGTGAGCACACCTGGAGATGTATTTCAGCACCCTGCACCCTTCTGCTACTGGTGCTGGCCAGGCAGGTTGCAATGGGAGGGATGTCCTGGTAATGCTCGTCCTCACGTTCTCCACCCAACMTAGTCCCTTGTGGGTGAAAACCACTGGGTGAAGTCGGATCCAACCCAAGYCCTGGCCAGCCTACATACTCCTACGCCCCAGAGCAGGTGTGCCAGCCTCGGCTCAATAAAGCCCTTCATTTCCAACTGTAATTACTCTTTCAAAGCCTTTCTTAAAACCTGTTCTTCTCCCTAAGCCTACCAGTGCCTACCAGTCCAGGTAGAGTAAACATGTTACTACACCCTGAAAAAGAAAAAGGYTTTTTGCTTGTCCTTTTAATGAGGAGACAAGGCAGGGACTTGTTTTCCTTATAGATTCATGTTGTCAGTATTTAATAACAAGTGACTTCGGTAACTAATGAAATTTCATTAGGGCTCTGTTTCTGTAACCAGAAGCAAAAAGCAGATTACTCATGTTTACCAAGGGCAAACTGCATTTACAGATCTCTTTCCATACCAGATGTCCCTGATGCTCTGTGATGATGTCCTCTCCCAGCCTAGACCTAAACAAGCCACCTAGCAGCATCAAGCTGCAAACTTCCTCCACTCTCCTTTCCAAGAAAAAGACACAAATGCTTTGCAGTAGGCACCACCCCAAGGGCATATATTTTTTCACAGCTTCTCATGAATCATTTTGAGCACAGCTAGTMCAGAATAATGCTGGCTAAAATTTGTCATTTCTTCTTCTTCCAGTTGACACAATCCTGAATAATTATGTCACCTTAAAATGAGCATGAGAAAAAGCACGTCCTACACTGCTSCATACCGCATTGTCAGCTTTCTGCTAAGGCAGAAGCTGTGACTATTGATATTTCAGAGTGTTGTGCTGAAGCTAGGATTTCCTTGGACTCTGAAGTGTGATTTACCAGACAGGCAGCTGATGCAACAGAGGCGCACCCTGAGTTTTTCAGGACTCTGTTTCTTGCCCAACAAGCACTTATGTAACACTGAAGAGGTGTGGGCAAAGCAGAACTTACATAGACATGTGGATGCTTTTATATGTGACTCAAGTTTTGGATGCAACTAAAACAAACTTGCAATCTCAGTCTTACTGGATTGTTTGTGRGTTTTGGGTAGGACTGGGAAAATCTTTTTTTTTTTCCTTTATTTTTCTTCAGTAATTTTTCCAAACAGAAAGTTCACATATTTTCTCTGTTGAATATTTCCAAAAGAAAATTTCTTCACTGACCCTATTTCATGGTGCCAGGAAAAAGAAAAAAGAAAAAAAAGAAAAAGAAAAAAGAAAAAAATAGAAAAAAAGAATAAAAAGAAGAAAGAAAAAGAAAAAAGAAAAAAAGAAAAAGAAAAAAGAAAAAAGAAAAAAGAAAAAAGAAAAAAGAAAAAAAAAAAAA